CTGGCTGTCGAAATCAAAGAAAATTTAGCACCGTATTATATAGTACATAATACTCAATCTTCCTTTAATACTTTGTACAGGCTTACATAATTTGGGCACAAAAAAAAAAAATCATATTTTGTAGTATTTCTTCAAACTGTCAATTATAGCGAACTGTACGACCAGCAAGTTAAAAAATAAGGCCGCTAGACGTCAGAGCAATCTGGGTATATCAAACACTATGCCTAGTTATTTTTGTACTATTGATGACCGTACTGCCTACAACAACAACAAAAAATCCACATTGTATATTTGGCTTTACAAGACTCCAACAAGAGAAATATTTAACACACACACATGTATTTATGTAGAGTAACATGTCTTTCAGAGTGCTAATCTGTAACCATCACATTAAGGTCCGTCTTGTGAAAGAGCATTCATCTCATATAGAAAAATATTTTGTGCTGATATTCATGTAATATTTGCCACTGAAAGTTTTGCAAAAATCAAGAAACGAAAACAAAAACAAAACAAAAACTAGTAGTTCAGATGTAGGTTCGTGTTCAGATCAGTCAATGTGATCACTTGCATGGCAACACACAGTGATATAGGGAGATTGTCAGATTCCGATCATGACTGTAAAGGACGACCATTTGTTTAATACAAAGGTAGCTGATTTACTCTTGATATCTTGGTTCTTTAAAAAAAAATGGCCAACATGATATAGCAGAGTGCTGAAAGTGGCACACACAATCAATCGGTTATTTTCAAATTACCTATCATTAATCAGTTTTGGCAAAAAAAGTATATAGGCTATACCATACTGAAACATAAATGTGATAAAAGAATATACAATTCAAGAAAGAGAGGTGCACCACCAGAAAATAGAAACTGCAATCTTTCTTTTAATTTCATCGGATCTCAGATCTCAAAATTTTAACTCTTACCAGAATTTATTCTATATTACAGTATAACTCGGAAGTTTCTAAGTGGAACTCGAGCTTTAAATAGAACTTACTCGAATTAACATTCGAACAAAAAATAAAACTGGAACTTTAATTCTAAATTTAGCTGGAACTCGAACTCTTATTCTACATCAAAGGTTATCCACACTCTCATTTGTCATCTGATAAAAAAATTCGTAAGGGTTCCACGGAACCCAGTGTCTCCCCTACTTTTGCTGTTAATCGCAGGCTCAACAAAAAAGAGGAAAAAGATCAATAAAAATATTCCTCTCGATACTATCTTTTGATTGTAAGAAGCTTCTGTCCAAGTTTGGTATAAATCTAGGATAGTTTATGGATCTAATAAATGTTTTAAAAACTTTAACTGCATACTGTATGTAATGTTAACTGCAAGAAAAACTAAAATTGAGAATGGAAATGGGGAATGTGTCAAAGAGACAACAACCCGACCACAGAACAGACAACAGCAGAAGGCCACCAACAGGTCTTCAATGCAGCGAGAAATTCCCGCACCCGGAGGCGTCCTTCAGCTGGCCCCTAAACAAATATATATACTAGTTCAGTGATAATGAACGTCATACTAAACTCCAAATTGTACACAAGAAACTAAAATTAAAAATAATACAAGACTAACAAAGGCTAGAGGCTCCTGACTTGGGACAGGCGCAAAATGCGGCGGGGTTAAACATGTTTATGAGATCTCAACCCTCCCCCTATACCTCTAGCCAATGTAGAAAAGTAAACGCATAACAATACGCACATTAAAATTCAGTTCAAGAGAAGTCCGAGTCTGATGTCAGAAGATGTAACCAAAGAAAATAAACAAAATGACAATAATACATAAATAACAACAGACTACTAGCAGTTAACTGACATGCCAGCTCCAGACTTCAATTAAACTGATTGAAAGATTATGTCTTCATCATATGAATATCAGGCACAATCCTTCCCGTTAGGGGTTTAGTATCATACCATCATAACATATATGAGAAGAACATAACCCGTGTCATGCCAACAACTGGTTTTTAAATAAATGTGTTTAGTGCAGATGCAAAGACCTTATAAGTGAATCAATATCAACGCCAAAATATGCAATCTTTAATGACCTGACAACAGTATCGTAACTATATCCCTTCTTAATAAGTCTATTTAAAGGTTTTGTTAGTTAAGTCCATTTATAAGTAAAATACGGATAAACAGGTACAAAATTTTGACAAAATTTCCTTCGAGATACAAGCTTTCGATCATAAACAAGCTTCTGTCCAAGTTTGGTACATATCCAGGATAGTTTAAGAAAGTTATTGAAATCTTAAAAAACTTTAACCACAGAGTGAATGTATTGTTTCCTGGCAGAAAAACTAAGTCAATTTATAAGTAAAATAAGGAAAAAATAGATTTTTTTTTTACAAAATTTACTTCTGGATACTATCTTATCATCATAAACAAGCTTCTGACCAAGTTTGGTACAAATCCATGATAGTTTACAGGAATTTTTTTTTTACAAAATTTACTTCTGGATACTATCTTATGATCATAAACAAGCTTCTGTCCAAGTTTGTTAGAAATCCAGGATAGTTTAAGAAAGTTATTAAAACTTCAAAAACTTTAACCACAGAGTGAATATTTGTGGACGCCGCCGCCGCCGCCGACGACGGAATGTAGGATCGCTATGTCTCGCTTTTTCGACTAAAGCTCGAGTTAGATAAAATATATCGACATGTCCACAGAAACACGGATAGATGTAGCAGAACAAGAAAAAAAACTCGATCCGTTTATTGCAAATTAAAAGATTTTTTTAAATACATATCAACTGGGAACATTATATGTTACTGATTTCAATATGGCGATGTGTATTTTATTGTCAATTAACTCTAAATTATCAGATGCATTGTATTTCTCATAACATACCAACGTTGAGCGATTAATCGAACGGTAATAAAATATACGTAATACATACAGTTTCTTAATACACAGGCGATGAACATTGAACATATTATGTACAATGAACATGAAACGATGTATGAAAAATGGGTGTAGGATGATAGAACTCAGAAAAAAATTTGGTTTCCACAGTTCGAATAAATTATGAAGCGTTGTGTAATTACGGAACCAATTTTAAATTCATACCGAAAATAGGTTTCTTCTAACGTGCTGAGTTTGTGGCATTTTTAACACGGCATTTCAGGTTTTATCTTCCCGGTGCGAATGGACAAGCTAGTGAAATTATGGTAACGAAATTATTCTGCCTACAGTCTAAAAGGAACGTGTTACTTTTCAGCCCGGATACCCTCAGTCTTCCGAGGTAGAAGATTCTTTATCTGGAAGCCGAAAATTATTTCTATAATACGGCATGAGGCAAACATTCGTTTTTCCATACAACAAATCGCGGCAATTAAAAAAATGAGATGACTCCAACTTTGACAATTACTTTATAATAAACTGTTATTGTATCTATGTTTAACGATTCGATAGATTGATAAAGATATCAATGACTAATCAAAATACCTTAAAAAATGTTCAAAAATGATATTATATTTTGTAGTGAAAAGGTTTAATTCAACCCAAGCGTTGCAAGAAATGCTGTTATGCCAGCAACGTCGTTCTATAACGTTAAAAGGTTATAGTTCCCGCCAAAATTCAATAATAAAGATTATTTCCGTTTTAGCGGATTTAAAACATCGGTGACCCCCCCTTTTTATTTATGCTTTTAAAGTCTTCCCTGAAGCTGCAACTTATGCAGAAGTTTGAAGGGAAAAACATTAGTAGATTTTTTTTATTTCAAGAAAAATTTATTATAAATAGCAATTAAAAATGGCGGGAAATATTCAAAGGCCTTCAAAAATAAGGAAACCGAGACAAATAAATGTTCATAAGGTACAAGTTACATTTGACTGTTTTTGTTATTCCAGTTAAACATGGTTTTTCAATAAGTTTGTCTTTTTTTTAACAATTTAGAGCGGTATTTCTATATTTCGTTATAACGCGATTCTTTAAGTTTTGATGACGTCATATCTCGTAAACAACATCGGTGACCCCAATTTTTTTTTCGCCCAAAATATCTTAATAAGTATGATCTGTCTACATGCAAAATTTCAATGAAATATTATTAGTAGTATAAATAGTGTGATTTCCCTTTAAGTCGATTCACAGGCCTTTTCCAAGAGCCAATGCATCTAACTTTGCTATTTAGTGAATTCTATGAAACCCGTTGCTAAGCAACCAGAAGGGCCCAAAAAGGACACTTATCATACCTTGCCTTTTACAAAAGGACAAGCTAAATATGAAAAGGTTAGATTTGTTTGTACAAGTATAAAGTTGAGATTTCAAACTGTTTCACTCCAAAAGCTTGATTGGAGTTGCCTGTGGTATAGATGAATTGAGAGGAAACGTATCTTGAATATGATAGCCAATGATCAAACCATATAAACCAGTTTGGATGGTTTTCAAAAACAGTTTTAGTTTGGGATTATCAAATAAGAATACAGCTTAGAATTTTGAACTATTTTGAAACTGGCTGCAAAAACAAGTAATCATGATTACTTTCATTAAATTTCTTTACACTTACATTTCGACTTTAGGCAGAAAACTAACTCCTATTTAGCATGTTGTAATGTTATCTTTCGGGAGAGAGAGGGGTAGATATAGAGAAATGATTCCTTTAACAAGAATATTTTGCCCCGCATTGAACAGCAGTAACATTTACAATCCATGTCAGTTTCCATACAACTAAAATGAGATGAAACCAAGAATCTTTTATTTAACAATTATCTGATCTTTCATGCCAAAGAGGCATTTAGGTTCACGATTGCATTTCTTTTTTAAAGCAAGCAACTTGTTTGTATTGTCGGGTTGTTTCCTTATTGACGTATTTCCTTCTTCTCCAAATAGAAATAAAGTTTGATTTTGATTAAGAATTACCACATCGGTTATAAATTGCTTTTCAAAACGTATAACTTTGCACACCAACTTTTCTTTTCTGAACAATTTTGTCACGACGAACTGTATATTTATAAATATAACGGGGCAGTTCAACGACTTTTTATTCTTTTTTCTTAGATCCGCTTCCACTTGATATGTGTTTGGAAGATGTGTCTATGAGGAAAATGACAGGTCAAAGTTCAAGTCAAAACTATAGAAAATACCCTCCCCGCAATGGTGTTGACGGCAATCTCTCTTCAATGTTTCATACGCGTTTGGAAAAGAATCCATATTGGTGGGTAGACCTCGGATCTTCCTTCTCAGTTCATCATGTTGAAATTTGGAACAGAGGAGGAAGGTCGTACGGTAAGTAAATGAATCTCTGATGTTTGCAAAAATGTACAAAATCGGGAATAAAAATACTGGAAATCAAGGTACCGGTATTTATTAGAATAATATTTAATGGTCATGTTATCTGAATATCAATCTGATTAAAATTCAGATCTATCGAATTGGCTTACGAGCATAACAAAATCAGAGATATTTTAATTAGATTGTCTGAATATCGAATTGATAATGACTGGTTTATTTGTTACATGCACATTGCAAATGATAGCGGATTGTTGAACAGGGTTATACATCTTTTAGAATATAGCAAAGTACTCTCGACCAATGAAATTGTAGAATTGGATGCCTCTTAATTGTGAAGAATGAATGTAAATCATTTTCTTAGTAAGGGATTATCCTATTATTTGGGTCTATTTACAGTTCAAAACAAAGAGGTTCTATAAATGAGTTACAACTGCCCTGAAGCACATTTATCAGATTGAAAGGATTTATCACACAGTGATTGAATGAAACTGACTAAAAGTTGAATTGTGAAACAAACAAAAATCTCAAAATAAGTGGAAGTTTACTGGTGCAGTAAAATTGGTACCGTGAATTTTATTATGAAAATATTAATAACTTCAAATAACTATAAAATTAAACAATACCAAAGCAATGCAAAAAAAAAGAAAAAAAATCTTTCAGATAAAAAATAACCTAAATCTTTAGCTTTCCAAAACTTTGATAATTTGGTCCGGCTTTTTACATCAAATACTGTTTCATTAAGTCATGGAAATGCTCAAAAATAATGCCCTTAAAAGAGTTTTTAATATGTTCAAAACTAAATTCCTGTTTTTTTTATCGGAATACATGTATTGGAAATAACTATTCTCCCCAACCGCTGATCAAGTAATCAAAGTTTTGGAAAGCTAAAGATTTTGGTTATTTTTTATCTGAAAGATTTTTTTCCTTTTTTTTTTGCATTGCTTTGGTATTGTTTAATTTTATAGTAATTTGAAGTTATTAATATTTTCATAATAACATTCACGGTACCAATTTTACTGCACCAGTGAACTTCAACTTATTTTGAGATTTTTGTTTGTTTCACAATTCAACTTTTAGTCAGTTTCAATCACTCTGTGATAAATTCTTTCAATCTGATAAATGTGCTTCAGGGCAGTTGTAACTCATTTATAGAAACTCTTTGTTTTGAACTGTAAATAGACCCAAATAATAGGATAATCCCTTACTAAGAACATGATTTACATTCATTCTTCACAATTAAGAGGCATCCAATTCTACAATTTCATTGGTCGAGAGTACTTTGCTATATTCTAACATATACATATGGAGCCCCAAACTTCCTTTAATGAAGAAAAAACTGTTCGGAATTTTTTACAGAAGTTTTTGGGACAACGGGTTAGATGAACTTTTAAAACAAACGAGGATGGCAAATCGTCTAAATGTAAACATGATAAAAAAGGTGTTTTTTACTAAAATGAGAAACGAAATCGAAAAGAAACAAAACGAAACGAAACGAAACGAAATATATGACGTTTGATAAATTTACTTAAAAAGGTCTAAAACGTAAATGGAAGGGTAACCTACATTCTCCAAGTAGGTAATGACTCGTGGACCAAATGTATACGACATTCTCTAATAAGGTTATGACTCTCAGACAAACTGTATACGACATTCTCCAAGAAGATAATGACTCGCGGACAAACTGTATACGACATTCTCCAAGAAGGTTATGACTCGCGGACAAACTGTATACGACATTCTCCAAGAAGGTTATAAGTCGCGGACAAACTGTATACGACATTCTCCAAGAAGGTAACGAATCGCGGACAAACTTTATACGACATTCTCCAAGAAGGTAATAAATCGTGGACAAACTGTATATAGTATAGGTCACTCACACTTATCAATTCAGTCTGAACTTAAAAACAAACTAAGATTATAAAAAATCCTAGGACATACACACTAAAGAACAAAACTCTTTATCTAAATATTTCTTCATAACTAAACCTTTTCTTTCACTTGCATTAAAAAGCACAATCGTAAGAATAAATTGCAGATATTTAGTGAAATTATATAATTTCTGGAATGAAAGATTAATTCAATTCAATTCAAATGTTTATTGCCATATAAACTTTAAACAATAAGTTTGTGACAAATACAAATACAAAACAAATATAGAATTTAACTGAAATTCACATATCATTTGGCAATCGCCAATGGCAGTCAGCAGGGTTTAAGAACATCCGTTGTTCGACCTGTTAGTCAAATGCGTTTTTTTTAAATATACTTTTTCACTTTTTTGGTCTTTTGGAAAATGTTGTTTGTGCTGCATTTAGACCCCTCTACCAAGAAATTTGTTTTGCATGCACACGTATAAAAATTGCGGTTTTTATATATATATAAGTCTAAAATGAAAACAACGTCCAAACCTATGATTGCGTTGGATAAAAACCGCAATTTTTGACTAACAGGTCGAACAACGGATGTTATTAAACCCTGTTGATTGCCAAATAAATGGATCACAAGATGTAACAAAATGGATCTTTATTATTAATTTAATACCATACAGAAAACAATAAACTTACGGATAAGATAGTATACCGCAAACATGAGGTGCAAACATTTGTACACCATATCCGGATTTCGACAATTAATGTCTCTTCAGTGATGTTAGGAATCGAAACGGTATTTGGAAGACCATATAATTTACCTCAATTTAGGATAGACTCTTGCATTTTGAAGAGTCGAAATAGGATGAACGGATTATATAAAACCGAAGGCAAATATAATACAAGCCCAAACGAAAAAATATAAATAAGTCTAAATTGAAAACAAGAAACCAAGAAATTTGTTTTGCATGCACACGTATAAAAATTGCGGTTTTTATCCAACGCAATCATAGGTTTGAACGTTGTTTTCAATTTAGACTTATTGATATTTTTTCGTTTGGGCTTGTATTATATTTGCCTTCGGGTTTATATGATCTGTTCATCATATTTCGACTCTTCAAAATTCAAGAGTCTATCCTAAATTGAGGTAAATTATATGGCCTTCCAAATACCGTTTCGATTCCTAACATCACTGAAGAGACATTAATTGTCGAAATCCGGATATGGTGTATAAATTTTTGCACCTGTTTTGTCTATATAAACACAATCATTTAATAAAAATAAATAGTCTAGAGTCCCCTGTCCTCAGTTCTAATGACTCTGATGTGGGACCCGAATTTATTTACTTGTGATGGTATTGATGGATTGAGTATAAAAAACACCTTTTCTTCATCAGACAAATCTTTAACAGAAAATTTTAATTCCAAATAATCAAAAAAGTTGTTTCTCACTTCCCTTTTTAATTCACAATATAATTAAAAATGTTTTCATCTTCTAATATGTTACCCTAAATGGGTAATCTCTGCTCTCTATGAATATTAGAATGTATTCCTTTTTCTATATTTTTAATTATGGACAATAATTCTTAGTTTTGTTATTAATTTTCTATATATAAAGTTTGGTGTCCTTAAATTAGTCTTCAAAAAATAAATTTGGTCTAAGGTTCTTCTATGAAAAAGTTGATTTCATCAATTTTTTGCATCTTATTATGAATCAAAATTTCAAAGTAGTTTTTATAGCTTATTTTTATATAACCTTTGAATGGAATACATGTATTTATTTTCAGGTCTGAACTAGGATTTTGTTAAAATAAAAATTTTTTTGCTAGAGGTGTTTACCCTCTTTAAATCAAAGTACTGAAGTACTGAACATCGGATGACCACAAGTTCTTGAGGATGGTCAAAAGCACTTGTCTCAGAAAAAAAACAACATATCTCTTTACCTGAAACTGAGGTTAATGTACAGAGATATATTTTTTTCTGAGACAAGTTCGTGCGTGGATGATGAATAAATGACAGGAAATTCATCTTCACCGTAATAACTACATGTATTATATTGAAGTGATACAAATCAGTATACACTGATTTGTTGTTAAATATTATATTAAAATAACAGTTACATACATATATGATTTGCATCCATTTGTATATCATTCTATTCTACTATTCTAATAATAGTGCAATGCAAGTGCATGGTGGACACTTTTCTGTAAAAATTCGATTTTTCTAAGATTTGATACGAGTAGGCATTCATATTTTCCCGCAAAAACAATTACAGAGTTACCGGTCCTTCAAAACGTTCTTTGAGATATTCTTCCGCATGCTTTAACACAATTTTTCGGTACGTGTGCATTGATATTATCAATGATTTTTTACTTATATATATATATATCTAACTACAAAACATTTTCATATTATTAATTTATGTTGTAAACAAAAATATTTTTATCAGTATTCATTGAAGAGATGTATTTATATCAAACGATAAGGAATGTTATTTTGCATTCGTTTATGTGCGCATATTTATCATGTTTATAGATCGGTTACAAACCCAAAACTAATTTACATAATGGAAATCTAGGCGATAGCAATACATTGGGATGACCTCAAGGTCATCGCGATGTAATAAAGAATATATTATTATTATTATTATATTATTATTCAATTCTTAAGTATTACTGTTATATTTAAATTTAGTATATTTTTTACATAGGTAAAACCAGGAGTATACTCCTTCCGTGTCTAAATTTTTGCTAAGCATGTAAGCTTCTTTTGAAAGAGGATTTAGCTTACAACATTCAAATCTCTTTAAGGAATTACTGTAATATTTTTTCTGTCTATGAAGAAATAACATCAAAAATGTGGTGCACACTGAATAACCCGCGTAGCGGGTTATTTTAAAGTGTGCACCACATTTTTTATGTTATTTCGAATAGACAGAAAAAATATTACAGTCATTTCTTATAATTTATTTTTTAATTCCATTTTAAACCGGAGTAAATCATGAAAAAACGTTGATGACGTCAAGGTCACATGACAAAATTATGTCTATGAGCTGATAAACAAAACAACGTCAGCCAATCGGAAGACGCGTTACATCCAAAATTAAATTATTTAAATATAATAA